AAAATAAATATTATTGTAACATTTGTAGTTAATTACCAGCTGGGGAGCAAAAGTCCCCTGAGGTACTACAGTCATGACTCGTATCATGTGTTAGGACCCAGGTGACTTACAGTATTCACCACATGTGAAATTGATTTGTTTACATGAAATTTGAAGGCATGCTTTACAACATCTGTTTCTTTAATCATAACTAGATGCAGCAGTGTATCATATAAACCAATGACATTATTATCACAATATTTAGTGTATACATATACATGTGTTCTGCATTGGTTTATAAAATTAATAGACCAGTTTGTTTTAAATATGCTATATTACCAACTGATTTGTCAACTTGAGTAATTGAACTATAGGTCAACTAAACAAATCATGTTCAAAGCTGGAATAACAGACGTATATTTCTAACATGTCAATTATTTATACTAGTACATGTGGTTTTCTAACTCAAACAAGATGCCATATATGTGTAGGGACATACTAAATGCATTTTACATGTAAATAACAGACTTCCAATTAGCTTACAATGTCATGACAATTTATAAATCAATCAATCAATCAATTAAACGTGTGTACTGTCCACATTAATAATGGCTGATTTTACATGATGTCATTCATCAGGCAACATATTGAGCTGCACATGGAGCAATGCAAGTGAAAAATAAATGGGTTTACATGACAACTGACTGAAGTGATAGGCAGCTCTGTAAAACCTGACATTTTTCAGTTGTTGTTACCTGATGTATCTCGGTAATGCGATTATATCATACAAACGGGGTACATGTAACTCTTGAGGCATTGCATTGCATCACATCTTGCGTTGTTCGATACCTCATAAATTTGATAATTTGTGTTAAAGCGCTGGAGTCGTCATCTGCACATGCGTCAAATTGCCATAGCGTGTCATTGTTTACAAACAAGCATCTACCCATGAGTCTTTGCGTTTTTATCGTGTGTTGTTATTGTTGCTTGGGACTCAATTCCTGTGTGTGCGCAGGTGACGACCCTCCCGCTATAAAGTACTTTAAGATCTGTTTGAATGTGTTGTTTCATATATTTTTTTATTATATTCAGCAGTTGTCTGTTCTTGGTGCTTGTCACTGTAGAGGTAACAAACCAGAGCCATGTGGGTGTGCCCGTGCTGCTGCCAACCTGAAACGTGATAATAACAGACTCCAAGATGAGGTAAACTTTGTAACTTGGTCCGCGTTAAGTTTCGCACAATACCGTTGGGGGCAGCATAACAAACAAGAATACGGCAACCGGTACATCTTCATCACGTATACACAAAATTTATGGTTTACTGTATAACAGTGGCATTCTCATTAGACAAATATTCATGTTTCTGGTAAGAGCTATATATTGAACATCTTAAAAATAAAAATTAAAAACGCTAGCTGAAACCAAAGTTGACAACAACAAATGTCATGCTAGAGGGCATACTTTTTATTTAGTGTACTTATTTGTTCTTCCTTACAATTCCTTCAAAAGAAGCATCAATCTATTTCTTATGACAATGTAATGTTGCCTTCATAAATCATGCCTTCATTATACATCTTTTCCCTACTTGTAATAATAATTTACTGGTAATGAGAGATAGCAGCTCGAAATGGCACTGAAGTTTCGCATACTAGTAACACATACAAATGTTTCAGTTCAGGGACGGATTCAGGGCAAAACATTTCACACTATGCAAACGTTCGGGTTCAGTGACAGGAATCTATCTCCATCACATGCTGCATCTGAAGGAAACAATGGACTCATAGATGTTTGTCAAAAAGATCAAAATGAAGGAGTTAAATTGACTTACAGATTATTTAAAACAGAGATTGCAATAATCTATGTATGACATGAGAATATTGACATAATCTAAATAAATAATCATAATTTGGAAATGAATATGAATCTATGAATATTCATACTACCAAATACATAATTCAAAAATACCAATAAACATGAAACTCAGAGTGCAACGACTGAATGTTTGAGCACCCATTTTATTTCCTTCCAAAATATTGTGGCTTTAAGTTCGCACATCTTTAATTTACATATTATCATAATTTTAGACCAAATTGATCTATTTTCTATTAGCTTCATTTCTTGATCAATATAATTGTAAAAAATAATTTATTTTCTTGAAGGTAACAATATTACTTTTTTTTGTCTGCAGATTCACAGGGTTAAGAAATCATGGGAAGACACTCAAGTGATAGCAGATGCCTACAGAATGGCATTTGAAGAACAGCTGGGAAGGAACAAAACCCTAACTACAAAGCTTGCACAATGGCTGCAGAAAGAACACAAAAATAAAAGTAGGAAAAAAGGATTAAATTGGATTGGGAAACCTCTCTCAAATGGCAATGGTGGTAAGTGAAGTTTAAGTTTTTTTGTGTCATTGCTATTATTTTCACTTATTAGGCTACATTAAACAAATTTCTTATATACAAATCTTGAGTTAGACAGGTAGACAGGCAGGTTTATTTTTTTATTCTCATATGACCAATTTCTTTAGTATCTGTCCAAAAATGGGGACTTATAGATTGATCTCTGTGAGTGTGTGTGACCTATATCTTAAACATGCCTAGTCTGATTTTATTCAAACTTCACACATAAATCATACATAATATTATACATATACATATCAATTTGTTTCACAATCTGCTAAAAAAATCATCAAAACCAAGCATTTCTGTCATTCTGGAACCAAATCTCAGTTGTTTATGGATGGATTTTCGTTAAAACGTACTTTAGACATTATGGATCCCTGATGCACATCATTTTGTTTTTTAGATCGGATTCAAAATGGCTGACTGGTGGCCATATTTTTTTTAATGAATGCGGTTCTAGAGCCATATCTCTGACATGATTTCACTGATTATGTTCAAATTTTATATTTTCATTATACATCATATCATAGATATACAAATATATTGGTTGCCATTTTTGTGCTGAAACATCATTTCAAAAATCAAGCATTTCTGACATTCTAGAACCTGATTTTGTTCGTTTACAGATTCAAAATGGCTGACTGTCAGCCATTTCGTTTTAATGAATGCTGTTTCAGAGCAATATCTCCCAATATTGACAAGTACTTCTTTGATCAGATACAAGATGACTTGATGTCAACCATTTTAATGTTAAAAAATCATCATAATCAGCTTTATATCATTCATATTAGGATTCATATCTGTGACATGTTTATGTTCCAACTATATTACTATAAACAAAATATTTCTTAAATTTGAAAACTAATGGGGTCTGTGTTGTGCATGGCTTGTTGCCACCAAGTTATTAGAAAGACAAGACAAGACATAATTCTGTCCTCAGCCAAATACCAACAGGACTATATCATTTTCAAGGATTTATTTATTTATTTATTTATTTATTTATTTATTTATTTATTTATTTATTTATTTATTTATTTATTTATTTATTTATTTATTTATTTATTTATTTATTTATTTATTTTAATAAGGATAAAAACAAAAAACAGCAATACGTCACATACAAATTGGATTTAGTAAGAAATTTGATTTCTTTAAAATCACAATCAGTGATTGTTGTTGTTGGGGATCAGTTATAGCATGTGTTGTTGTAAACCTCCTGTGTTAAAATGGTTTAGTCCAAATGTGTGTCAGCCAGTAGATTATTTTGACAAATTTAATAAAATTAATAAATTCTGTTTTGCTCCTGTCCATCTGAATTGACAACTCTGTGTCAGCTTGGCAGACATGATATGCTAATGATGTTCTAAATTCTGTTCTAGAATAGTTGCATGATGTGAGTTATTTAGGTGTGTTTGTTTTCATTTTATTAGGTCAGTTATTATTATTCTGTTGCTGCAATGTATGTACTCGGTGTATGTTAGTTGTACCATGCAATAGCAAATAGTAGGTTATGCTGTTTGTAAATGACCAGCGAGCCTAAAATGGCATTCATGAGTAATACAATGTGAGCTATTAGGGGAGCTATGGATTAGGACAGTGATAATTAGCTTTTTCTTGGTCTTGATTTGGACGAGTGATAAGCAAGTGGAGTGAAAGTAAAGTCTGAAATAGTGTGTTCACATCTGTATTTGCTATTACCCCTTCTGTATATGTTATGTATGTCTGTTTCACCATTATCTAAAGAACCACTGGTCAGATTTCAATGAAGCTTGGTACAATGGGTCAATGCTCAGACCTGATTAGTTTTGGGTAAAAATTACCTAATTTGCATAATGATTAGTCAATTTTTGGCTGGTAAAACATAGCTGATATCTAATCATCACATTTCAATGAAGCTTGGTACATAGTTATCATAGGACAAACCTGATAAGTTGTAGGTTCATATCTGTGCATATTAATTAATACCTAATTTGCATTATTAGTCAATTTTCAGCTTTTCAGCAAATATCTCAAAGTACTTGGTACATGGATGCTCTAGGACAGACCTGCTCAATTATGGCTTAAATTCTGTTTACAATTCATAATTTTTTGACTTTTTCAATGATATCTCAAGTACTGATCATCTGATTTCAATGAAACTTGGTACATGGATGGTCTGAGACATTGAGCAGATCATAATTGTTTTAAGTTAAAATCTGTGATATTATTTACCTCATTTGCATAATAATTAATCAGTTTTCAGCATTCCCATCAATATCTCAAGTACTTATCATATTTGAATGAATTTTGCTACATAAATACTCTAAGACAATGTGATTACCTAAATACTGTAAAACATGTTGAAAAAGCGGCATACAATTTTCGCGAATTGTAGTAAAATGACGTAATAGCGAAATGTTGATTTAGCGAATCTCTCTTGTCTTTGTTGATTTCTTTGTTTAGTGGCCTTTTTGAATTTATAATAAAGTCATTAGCGAGATGTTGAATTAGCGAATCAGTTCTCTCGCTAAATTCGCAAAAAAGACATGCTCGTGAAAAAGACTCATTTTACAGTAGTTTTTGGTTGATATACCGGTACATCCATAATAATTCGCATAATTTTTTTTTCTGTATTCTACCTATTTCTTTATAAATTAAGCATCACAATATAATAAAAACCATGCATATTGATTATCTAATTATTAATCAATTTCTCATATCTCAAAAGAATTGAATCAGATTTAAATTGAACTTATGGTAGAGCTGCTCTTGTATAAATCAGACAACAAACCACAGATGTACAATCAATTTATTTTCTGTAAGTAGTATTAAAAAATTCAATAATGAGGATCAGTGTTTGAATTTACCGGTCGCCCAGGCACCCTGTTTTCTATCTGATTTTAACAACACTGGCAACTTGGTCTAACAACTTAACATCAGGATCACTAACTTTTAAGATGTTGGTATTTGTGGGAATTTATAACACTGATGTGAATCACATTGTTTTTCATTTCAAATAGCAGACACATATTAGTTGCCAAGCTTTTTGTTTGAAAGGATAATCTTAAATTTTTAATTACCGTAAATTTTAATATGTATTTTTTTTATAAACCAAATGAACACAATCTTCAAATTACAGCACAATTTCAAACATAACTTAAACATTAACCAAGTATTTAAACATTACATAGCAAATTTTAGTTTGATATATCTATCATCATTGTTGTCAATGTCTGGGTATGTAAAGGACCTCAAACCCACAGCTCAATCAAACTACTTTTATTTTTAAATATTTTGTATTTTCTCTGTAATAATAAAATCAATACTGACAATTTGCAATAACTGGAACTGGAATTTTGTGGGAAAAACACATCTGACGGTGAAAACACTGTAGGATTGTAATAAAGTATTAAACCCCAATCATCTCCTTATTATATGTGTGATATATAAATATTTGATGTATATTCTTGATGTGTGGCGACATGTCTCACACGTCTAATCAGATTTTCTTAGCTGTCAATGTTTAATTACATTTTGTTAAATTTTCAAAGATAAAAATTTGCTGAAGCCACATGTATTATTTTTTAGAAACTTTTATATAATTCATATTATATTATTCTATGAGGAAAATTGAAATTAATAGAGCACATCTCTAGAGCACATTTGCTTACTAGATATGTTGCTGTACTATTATTTTTAGTCCCCATACTGGCTCAATCCAAAAATGGCGACTTATGGATTGACCTTTGTGATATTATACATATGCACATCAATTTGTTTCACACTCTGATTAATGATGGTCGAATGGTGGCCATTTTTGTGCTAAAAAATCATCAAAATCAAGCATTTATTGATGGATTTTGTTCAAACTTGGAATATACGTTAGACATTTTGGGACCTTGATGCACGTCATTTTATTTTTCAGATCGGATTTAAAGTGGCTGTCTGGTGGCCATTTTGCTTTAATGAATGCGCTGCTCGAGCCATATCTCTGACATGTTTTGACTGATTATGTTCAAATTATATATATTCGTTATACATAATGTTATAGATATATAGTTGTATTCAAAATGGCCGACCGGTGGCCATTTTCCTTCAATTAATGCTGTTCAAGAGCGATATTTCTCAATATGGACAAGTACTTGTTTGATGATCAGATAGAAGATGTCAATCATTTTAATGTTAAAAAAAACATCATCATCAAGCATCAGCTTCTGGATCCATACTTCTGACATGTTTATGTTCCAACTATAGCACTATAAACAAAACTATATATCTTAAATTTGATAACTAACAGGGACTGTGCCATGCATGGCTTGTTTATTTAAGAACTTTATACAATTCTTATTTTTATTATTCTATAGGAACATAAAATAATAAAATAGTACATATAGTACTATTTGTTCTTGTTTCATTTTTGGCCAGGGTTGGTCACACCTAAATTTTGGCCAGTATTTCCCATGCAAAATTTGTTGATATAGTGTTCCATTGTGTCAGGACTTTTATACTCGCTTTTGCCATGCAAAGGAAAGATCGTACGTCATTAGTTTTTAGACAAAATTTGTTATTTATTCTATATTTTTAATGAACAAGGTTTTATTACGCTATGTTTTATTTTAAGAGTCTGTAAATGAGATTAGGTAGCAACGATCACTCAATATGAGATTTGTAATTTGTTCCTTGCTGAAGTAAATTGAAAATAAATTATTAAGAAACATGAATTGGCACTTATATAGTACATGTACATCTGATGAGCAGTGTGCTCACTAATAAGACTGATTTTGTAGGAATACTGAGTCAAAATGGAATTCCCCACGATAAAGTTGAACCAGTTTTGTGACTGCTGGGAAGCTTGGTCTTCAAAAAAAAAAAATGAAATTGTATTTGACTGTCTAGATCACTTGAGGCACAAACAAAAACATAGTGGCCCCTGATTTCTTTCGTATTTACACTTACCGTAAAATCTGTATTAGAAGCTGCATCCCTAATAGAAGTCACACCCATTCTTTTTGAATAATTGAGAACCAAAAATTCATCATTTCGCATATGTGTAGATGCTCTAATAGAAGCTGTTTCCCCTCTATTGCATTGTATCATTCTAAAAAAAGCCACGGTTTCTAATACAGAGTTTACAGTAATTTGTTTAAAAATTGTTTCATTTTACAAATTCCATAACTCTATGCAAGATGTTTTCAATATGTAAATTACCGGTACCACAACTAATTGTGCCACAACAAATCTGTGTGCATCAGTTGAGTTTCATTAGAGGGCATACTGCTAATGAGACTATTTCATTACAATAAATATTAATGGCTGTGAAATAATTTACATTGTATAATGGGAATCTTTGTAAGGTACATTGATTTTACTGCTATTGAGTTTGATCAATGATAAATGCTGGAAATATAGAAATTAAACAGGGACTAAATATTCTGTAAATCAATGTGGTGAAATAATCAACCACATATAAGTGTTTACACCTGGTAGCTAATATGCAAATTATATAAAGACTACCTAGTAAATATGTTGTAAATCAGTGGGGTGGGGGGGGGTTGTAACTTAAGTGCTTTTATAGATCACCTCACTTATTTAATATAGATAATATATTGATATTGCTTCTCTGTCAGTTCCATGAACAGATTTTTCTCAAACTTGTTACAACTTTACAATTACATTATATGTTATGTCCACATATTGACCAGTATTTGTCTGAATGTTCTCTCAGATCAATAAATACCAGAAAGTGTTCTATGTTTTGTGTGTAATTAGGTGTTCATATACAAGGGATTCTTCCACACAAAAACAACAAATTCAACCAAATTCAAAAAATCCCAAACTTTCACAGCCGTTTCTTTTGAGCAACATTAAGCTGTTGCTCAAAAGAAATGGCTGTGAAAGTTTGGGATTTTTTTCCCGATTTGTTGAAATCTGAAAACTCCAACTTTTGTCTTTTTATTTAGTTTTGTTTCTAGATGGCTGCTTCAATATAATAAATATTGGTAAATTGATCCCATTTAAGTTATGATCATGTGTACACCAGCTGCCTGTGGCATGCTTATATCAATAACTTATAAATTTATTTGATTTTAGGGGTCAAAGAAGTCGAGGCCAATGGTCAACATCTTGACCATAGTAATGGCATGCCTAATGATCCAGAGAATGGTGTAAATATGCAAAAATGTACTGTACCATTTATAATTCCATGTGATGAAGATACAGGTGATATAGTGATAACATTGGCAGAGTTGGTAAGTAATTATTTAGCCATGTAGTGTTATTACAGGCAAATACACATTACACATAATCACAGCAAGTGCCTTACCATTGCAGACAGATACGCTATGGGGTGCTTCCATTGTATTCAATTTCATTATTCATTGCTAATGTTTTACCCCTGTCAATACAGTTGTATCCTTCCACATACAAAAGTATGAATGTAATACCTTGATTCATTTGTGTCCCTCAATAGAATAAAGAACTACTAGTATTCAAAGTTGAAATTTTTTCAAAATATGTTGTACATGTAGCAATATTATTTTTTGATCAACTGGATTTTGATCTTGGTCTGATGATAAATTAACAACTTTATTCTCAAGAGGCATCCAATTGTATTTGGTGTAAATTCTCTTTTTTGAGAGAAATGGGACTTTTTGACCTTTGTGCGTGCATCTCCTGCAGTATCTTGTAAATGCCTGGCCTGATTAATTTCAAACTTTATACATATGTTATGCGTCTTGAGATCCATCGCAATCCCATTCAAGATGGCCAAAAGGTAAAATTTATCATAATCAAGCATTTCTGCCATACCGGAACTAGATCTTGGTCGTGTACAGATTTTGTTTAAACTTGATACAAACAGTAAACATGATGGGATTTGTATGTACATTGAACTTTATGGGACCCCAATGCATGTAATTTTCTTGTCAAGCCTTACTCAAAATGGCTGACTGGTGGCCATTTTGTTTTAGTGAATGGAGTAATTGGAGCCATATCTCTGACATTCTTTCACTATTCATGTATAGACTTATTCTCTTACTGTTTGTTTTCAGAAAAGACTATGTAATGCTATTTAATAGTTGTTTTCACTAGTGTTTGAACTAGTTATTTAGAGTGTTGACACCTGTCCCCAATCTATAATTTCATGGCTTTGCTGCACCAATTACACTCTAGAGTGCACTTTAAAGATCCATGGAAAACATAAAATATTTCCTGATAGTAACTTGACAGTTTTGTTACTAACACTTTATATCAAGCAGGTTTAGAAATATAAGCTAAACAAAACACTTAACTCATTTCTCGGGAAAATAGTATTTTTATATAATCTCCTTAAAGTTCAAATAAAAGATATTTTGAATAACAAATTTATAAATTATAACATTTATAAAGGTCTAACTAGAAAAATAAAAAAATATTTTGTTTGGCTATTTTTGATAATGAAGTATATAAATACCATATTTAATACAATATACAAATTTCTCCATAAATAAAAATAAAAAATCTTAATTGCAGTTAAATGATAAGTGTGAAGCATTGGCACATCAAAAAATGGTGGCAAGAATGTTAGCGAGGAGAACTCAGGATCTTGAAGAACGGCTAACAACAGAAGAAGGCATATAGGGATTGAAGAGATAACATGGAATACTTAACAGTGGCAATAACACAGCTTTTATACTGAGCATTAGTCAGGTGATAATTTACAATATGAACACTCTATTACGGGGTACAAAAATCACATGTGTGTCTTACAAATGAATTACTAGGTCAAAGGTTATACATCCTGGTACTTAGTAACACGAGTTTAGTTACTATATTGCGTTTGTCTTCATTATTTATTTCCAGATGAACTAGTATATTTTTATAGCAAATAGACAAGTACAATAGTTTTGGGGGTTCATAAAAAAATATCTTAAACTTTTTAATTTAATCTGTCTATATTAAGATTATATTGTTAATTCAAGAAAATAATCCAAATAGATGATTTAAACACCAAAATACCAGGATGTGTGACCTCCAGGGGTCGTGTAATGTGTACATTCAGTTCCATCATGTATGTACATAGTATCTTTGGCATTCTGATCCCAGTATCCCCACTTTAAGCTAATCCAACACTGCCTTAATTAAATTATTAGATTGTATATAAATATTTCTTATATATATATATTAATATATGTTGTCACAAAGTAATATAATTTACAAGTCTTATGAAGATTTGTGTATTTTTCTCCAACTTTACATCAAGAATTGTTCGAAGAACAATCTTCTATATTGAGTTCACAGAATTTTTAATGTTTTTATTCAGCTGTACTAAATGTGTGCATAAAACATGTAATTTGAAGTTCTGATATTGAGAGAAACAGACAAAACAAATACATTACAGAATTCATTAGCTATTTAAAAATTGCTGTTAAAAATGAAAGTATAAAAAAGTCATATCAAAATCAATATCCACAAAAGAAACTTACAAGTGCAATTATACAAAAACATGTGTGGCAAACATTATAATGGGAAACTAAACACATGTTAATGTTGTAAGCAACATAAACTATGATTTTCCTTCATTTAAGTTTGTATGATATGTTTCTATTTCAGCTGATTAGTGCCTAAACTTAGCATGTGTATGTGTTCGTAAATGCCTGACAAATTCAATATTTTCTTCTGTTTCTAATAGTTGAAGAACTATACATTTTTCGATTTATGTGTACTCCATGCACTTGCAGGTTATATTATGTTATCGGATTAAAAAGCTAAAATTTTCGATTTTGGTAAGTAAAGTGGGTATAACAAATGTTTTTAGTTCAATAATTCTCATTGACTATGGGATAAACACATGCTGCCAACTGTACTTTAAGGCTTCATACTTAGTTGGGTATTATGTGTGACCTAGATATTATATTGACTGCAGGTCTAATACCTTCTAGAGTTTCAAAAAAAACTTTAAAATCTCTCTTTCGCACTCTGTCAAATCTTTGAAAAGTAATCATGTTCGAAATATTATCTATTTTTGTCATTCTTGGAAATTTACTAAGCTCATTTTTCATACATCTCTACTGTAATATCCATTTAATTCCAAACATGATTTTTCTTTGATGTTTTTTTTTATCTACAATTAAATCAGAGTAATCTTGTACCATTGGTTGATGAAATACCATTTGGCTTTAAGATTAAACACCATAGTAATAACTCATTTCATTAATAATTTAACTATCAAAGCCAACTTTTGTCATCACTCATTTACAAAATAAAACCCACATCATTTGTGTCATGTTTATTTCCAAAATTTGGATCAAATCATGTAGTCAATAAAGATTTATGTCCATTCGGCCAAAAATTGCCAATAAAATCACAGAAAAACACAATAAAATGGGGCAAAATGTTGGCGGAAAAGTAATTGTGTTTAAATGCACTAATGATGTAATTTTCCAGGAAGCTAAAATAGCAAAGAAAGTCTTTCCTTGCTTTTTGCTCTTATTGGGGTATTCACTCACTCATAGTTATAGCAATTCATGCGAGCATATATTATCTACACTTCCAACTATTATATGGTTACCCATTTATTTCTTATGTATAATTGCCTCAAAATGGTTATACTACTGATATATTTTTATGCGCCTTTTTGTAAGTACGGTACATAAAACCAAAACATGACAATGTTATCCCCAGAAATTGACATGGCTGTGATGATGTCGATGGTTGACTCATTACAACACTAACAATCGCCTGCAAACAATAATGAGAAATGATAATCACTATGGTTGTATCAGACCAGTGTGGAGGTAAGAAAACCACACTGTGTTGTTACCACCACACTGTTTGTATCTTGGGAAAATACTGCATTGAATTCATGTATACTGATTCATTAAACTATTATTTCCACTATGCATGGTCGCATTTCTGTAATTTTTAAGTGCATGTACTACTAATTAAACAATTGCAGTCCTTATTCTTTATATCATTATATTACTTTCAAGTTAAGCTTACAAAAGCTCACCATTAAAGAAATTGCAAAGTATAAAAGACTATTGCTAACTAATAAAACTAAAACTAACAAAAGAAATCGTTTTAAGTTACATTAAACATGTGCATGTCACCTTAATTTGATCCTTTCAATAGTTTTAGCATTTTATTTTCATACATACTGGTAAATTGCTAATGCAATTTCTTTTTTATTATACTTGATTTGCAAATGAACGAACATCGCTTTAGTAATTGTTCCACCTTCAAACTGGCTCATTTACAAAGATGAAATTAACAATATTGAGTGAAACATGATATAGTTTGTACAATATTGAGTGAAACATGATATAGTTTGTACAATATTGAGTGAAACATGATATAGTTTGTACAATATTGAAAGAAACATGATATTGTGATATAGTATATGGAATATTGAGTGGAATGGCATATGAAATACAAAATTAATGTTTATTTAATTCACGCATGGGTATGTCTTCTATATCAATATATTAACGAGATATCGTGTACACAGATGAGTGATATAAATACTGTATTCACCTTAATAAATTAATTTATTAGTATGTTTGATGAAACTGTGCAGGGATCTAATTATGTTAGATTGTCTGTATTAGCCATAATGATAGTAAATATCAAAAAGGAATGCGATTTCAAGGTGGTCAGAACTTTCCAAACAGTGATTATTACACGTTTGCAATGTGCTGATCCACAGTTTTATTTCCTATTTATTGAAACCTTTTCACATCTTCTAATGTATAACCACTCGGATATACTGAAAATGAATAAAACAAATATGGAACTGCAGAATGCTTAACTCTCCTGTAAAAGCAGAATTAAACATTCCCCTATCTTGGCTATACGGTCTGATGTCCATAAAAGCAGTCTCTGACATTGTATTGTTTTAACTCCCCGCTACTATGCGATATACAAAAGTGTATACAATCATCACATATGGCTTAGAGTTGGAATTAATTGATAAAATAAATATATGTGCATTATTTGATTATAAATTCTTCCTGCTTAGAAAGACCACATTTGTCAGACCTGTAGAGCAGTGCACCATTATTCTGTTATTCACGACTGAAAGCTGCATGCATTAAATTAATGATATCTTGGGATCTTTGTTGAATTCCATTTTAAGTGCTAACGCTTCATCAACACATAATGTATCATACAACAAAGGTTAAACTGATATTGTATCTTTATCTTTTAGGTATGTTGTATACATCTTATGCATCTAGGTTTTATATTTGAATTGAGAAGTGAATCTATCTGTATTTGGATCATGTGATTCTCAAATAAATTATATGCTTTACTTTTGCCAAAAACATTTACTTGTTTGCTGACCCGGTCAAATCAATAGACACACCACCAGTGTATTTGTCAAATGAACCACCACGTGGAGCACATCGATTTAGTATTACTTTATATCAAATTATTTGTAGATACAACATACTTATTATGTATAAATTTCTTTTTGTGTACATTTAGCTGACAACATGTTTTAAATCAATATAGTATTTGTATATATTATTTGTTTTTCTCTTTTATTTATTTATATGTATTTATTGAATTTTATTTTATAGACCAGTTCTTCAGTAATAGTTTTTATTGTGTGTGATTTCTATAATTCGCTCTTCCTGGTTAAATTTTACTTCATAAAAATCAAAATAATAAAAATATTTTGACAACTATCGTGTGTATATATGTGTTGTATGTATAAAAACAGGCAGTAATGTATAGTTCATAATATGCTAATGTGAATGGTCACTGTATTAGAATACCCATTTTCAAATTATTACATGTATTGTGAGAGCTGTCATAAACCTAGTTGCTGTTGAAAACAAGTACTTGCACTGTGATACAATTTTCTCATACAAAACAACGGTTCACTATGGTTTTTATGACATGTAATCAACATGTGCACATTATATTGTTTATGTAAAATTCAAAGGTACCTTGCACAATTACTGAACAACTACTGCAAGGAAGTGTTTATATATAATCGACTATTTGTGCAGTATTAGATTACAGAGATTCAAATTATCAAGACTATCATCGACTACATATTTTGAGTACAATTCATACATCACCGGAATATCTTAATATCTCAGTAATGATGTAATTCAACTCTGATATGTACATATAATGATGACACCCCCTGCAGATATTCCTATAGACTAATTGGAACGTTTGACATTTTATGTGAAGACGCATTAAATTATTATTGTTACAGTACTAAAAGTTTCCAGGCTGTCCCTCATTTAGTTTAGTCCTCTTCTGCCAACAATTTATTTTGTGAGTATGTATTTGTATCATACATAGACCGTTTGTATTCACACTGATTGTTTTACATTAAAAATCGGAACACGTTTTGGAGTTTTGTAATGAGGATAATAATTTACTATTTACTATCGCCCACACATGTTTACAACTCGACCACGGTTTGTTCCAATGCTGTTATATAAACGTTTATGATCAACAATTTCGTTTACTTTAGGTATATGCAAAATATGAATGACGTTTGGACATTGTTGTTACCGAAACACATTTTTATAGTGTGCCCATGATCTATATTAATTGCCACAATTTTAATCATATCGATAGGGGCGGCGGGGGGGGGGGGTCTGTTAAGGGTGCTGTTCCACTCGTATGTCACAATGTAGCCGTCACTTTACCCGTTCGCACTTTTGAGCACATCAATTGACGCTGAATAGTCTGTGGAAATCGTAAAGAACGCATTTCATTGTTATTGTCTCGTTACATAGAATTTAATATAAATTCGATATATT